TAGCCCTATTATTATTATTATTATTATTATTATTATTATTAGGCCTATTATTATTATTAAGCCTATTATTATTATTATTATTATATTATTATTATTTTTTTTGTATTATCATTATTAGGCCTATTATTATTATTATTATTATTATTATTATTTTTATTATTATTATTATTATTATTATTATTATTATTATTATTGTTATGTTACTAATACCTTAAGGGGGAATTAGACATTGGAGAAATTAGATAACAATTAAAAAAATAACGTTAAGAGGAAAATAACACAAAAGATATTCCCCTTAATAAGTCTTAAGTCTGACTTAGCGCATATTATTATTATTATTTATTATTATTATTATTATTATTATTATTATTATTATTATTATTATTATTATTATTATTATTATTATTATTATTATAGTCGACGTCGTCATCACTGTATATTCATCATCATCATTATTCTCATCATCATCATCATTATTTATTGTTAGGCCTATTTATTTTTTTTTTTGTTAGATTTAAATTGTGAGGAAGGTCAGGAAGCCTGTAGGCCTACGATCGATAACATGTGTATTCAAAGTACTTGGTTTTGTGACGGGTATTGCGACTGTCCCAAGAGCTGCTGGGACGAGTCTGACACTAAATGCGTATTCAACTGTAGCAATGGTAAAACAATACCAAAGAAACAGGTATGCGACTACTACAATCAATGCGGCGATAACAGCGATGAGTCACAAAAGAAATGTAATGATGTATTCTATGGTAAGATCGTCAATTTATCTTTATTCCCATAAAATAAAAAAATCCGTTTCCGGCTTTTTTAAAACTTATATCAAAAACGAGATTGTTGTCTCTTATTATGTTAAACTTGTCTCTTGGAGGAGCGTAGGGTGGTTCCCATCTGGGAGTGTGGGGTGTGAGAAAATTGTTGAAAATTGTGAAAATTAAATGCGGAACTTACAAAGGATCGGTGGTGTAACGAACATGCCAAAGGTCCGAGACAGGCACTGGGGTGGGGGCGGCAGGGCCCCCGTGGGGGTGTGGGGAATAGTCCCCAGCCGCTCCGGTGTTGGATTTTTTTTTTTGCGCGGACAGAGTTTGAGGCAAACGTCAATGAAATTTGATAATTCCAACGATCCACCCCTTTTTCCATATTTTCCCCAATTTTTTAAATATTCAAAAATCTATAATAATATTAAGAGCGTGGTAACGTTTCTAGTGTTTATTGCACATTTTTCTCCTGTGCAGATACCAGAGTCCGTTTTAATGTCGCAATCCACTGACAAAAAGTTTTTAGTTTCATTGTTATTGTTATTATGATTATTTTAATTTTATTTTATTGTTACTATTTTATTGTTATTTGCTTTATATCAATTAGCCAATATTATTTCTCTGTAAAGCGCATGGGGCAATGTGCAATACGCGCTATATAAATACAACATATTTATTATTATTATTATATGCGTTTATTATAAGTTTTTACTTTTTGTTTTATGGGGGTCAAATTGAGACAAGCTTCGCTTATATTTTTGTTCCTAATTAATTAATTTTAACGTTGTCCACTTTATTTATCATTTGATGTATTTGATTAATTAATTGAATAAATGTTAATTGAATTGCATGCGCAGTAACTAACTTGGTAGTTAATTATTGAACTGCCCATCCATGCGTGTAATGAAAAATAAAATCGCAATTTAGTGCACTCATGCTTTGAAACGTAGCCTATTTTTAAAATCTAAGAGGGCCATTTTCGGACATCTGATATTTTTATTTAAATATCTTGCTTACCTCAGCCCCAACCATGGTGGGGCTGAGGTAGTGGCCCCTTTTGGGGCTCGAGATAATCCTAATCGTAGAGCAGAACTGGGAGTGCAAGTTTGTTTAGAATCCACCCCTTCTCTATTCCACTGCATAACACCCTCATTTTTAAAAACAAGGCCTATTCACGGTTGATGTTAAGGTATCATCAATCTTAAGCCAGGCTCAGGTCTATACTGTAATAGGCATATAGACTTGTAGACCTATAATAGGGAATGGGTGGGATTGTCGTTGAAAAAATAATATGGGTCGGCCCGCCGCTGGTCTCAGCAAATAGGAACTGTCCACCAGCTTAAAAAGGTTGAATACCGGGGCCTAGGTGAAAGAAACGACAACCTACTCCCCTGGTTCATGGTCTCTTGCCGGGACCTAGCAAGAGCGTCGGAACCGTAACTGCCACATCGTCTATGGCCAGACCACTCTTCATTATAAATATATTACGTATATTTAAATAATTGTAAAAAGCATATATAACGTTAGATAACTTTATAAATAATTTGTATCAAATAGTTTTGAATGGTATAACGTTTAAAAAAGTGAAAGATGTGCCCCATTGCGCAGCGCTACTGCTTTGACGGCTTCTCATTGGATTCCGACAGAGGTCGCTACGCTTGTGACCTTTCCTGTGGTACCATTTTCTTGGTTTTTTTTTTGTTTTTTTTTTCGTGTGCTGTCCAATGGTCGTATACGTATCAAAGGAATATAGTTGGTTTATTTTTTTCTTGTTATCATATTCTTACAGATTGCGACCCGGTTGAATTCAAATGTGATAATAAGTTCTGCATTGATAAACGTCTACGTTGTAATAAGGTTAACGATTGTAAGGATAATAGTGATGAGCAGAACTGTAAGTATTAATATTATAAGCTAATTTATGATTTAAAAAAAATACATTATTGTGTTTACGATTGTTAAGTTGAATACTGTCCCTGGACAAAATTGGAAAGCAATTTTATACCGGCACTCATGCGCTCTACTCTCGTCGGCCGACGCGATTCTATAAACGCAACGTGACGACGCGAGGTGGCGACAGCTTTTATTGACAATCCGTTCAGAGTGACTGCCACCGACAATTAGCAGACGGCGTCGCGTCTTCTATCGCTCACATGAGCGGATTTGTTGGTTTCATCGGCCGAGGTCCGACGGTCGTACAACCATCGTACGACGCAGTAAGTACCCAGCTTTGGTATAATTCGAAAAAGACTCAGACTCATTACATTTTTTTAACAGATGCTCCAGGGGCATTAGTAAGTGGTTGAACTTGGGACTCGTCTGCATTTTGAGTCGCAACACCGGTATATCCTACATCATATGCTCGAGATCTAGCACAGTGTATTTTAAAATTCGAGAGTTTTTGTTTTGTTTTGTGATGCGAATAGAAACATTGAGCAATATGCCCTATACAAATGTAACTTGTTATCATCATCATCATCATCATCATCATCATCATCTGTTTTATGATTAATTGCAATATCATGTATGATTAATTACTGTCTTGGGCTATGTTCTCACACGGCTGCTAAAGGTTGGCAGGATCCGGGTCCTGCTAACCGTTACCTGCTGTGCGTCCATACTAGAAAATCCCGATCCGGATACCAAAAATATCATAATCGAATCACTGGCCAATAAGAAACTGGAAGTTGTAAACGCGTACGTGTGATTGGTTGATGATAGAAACGCGTTCAACTTGCTAACCGATAGCGCTTGCTAACCGTTAGCGGTATCCGGATACTGCTAACGGTTAGCGCTAACCGATCGGGCGTTCTCACGCAGGTGCTAACGGTTAGCGCTAACGGTTAGCTACCGATCCGGATACTAGGGCTCTCGTGAGAACCTGGCTATTATTACCTTGTAGGCACCTGCACTGATTTTCTCTGTGACAATGGAGAATGCACACAACAGTATGCGCGATGCAACGTTCTGGTAGAGTGCAGTGACAGTTCTGATGAGAAAGGATGTAACGAAACAGGTTTGTTGCTAAACACGCTTGGGCGAAGGTTGGTGGTGGGGAGGGGGACGGTGGGTGACAGGTGCCGCCATGGAATGGGGCACAGAAATTTGACTTTCTCTTACTTAAGTTATTTCTACTTCCTATAAACACTGAATAAAGAGAATTATAATATTTATTATTTTAGTGTAATAGTAGTAATAATAATAGAATCTGCCGTGGGAGCTGAGAGGGAATCAGCAACATCACTCAGAGGGGCTTATTTTATAAGCATATTTTGCTAAACCTCAATTCCCTGGAACACAAGACACTGCTAAAGAAGACCTTGAGGGACTACAAGTAAACAATAAACAGTAGTAGTTGTAGTAGCAGTAGAAGCAGCAGCAGTAGCAGCAGCAGCTGTAGTAATAATACGGCGTACTATTATTGATTAGCCCAGCAGGCGTAGAAATATATGTGTTCACATTATCGCACTTAGCACTAAGGACTTTTATGTGGTTTCACTAACTTGTCTAGAATACGTTTATCCGGACCATTCCCCTTTAAACTGGGATAGTGAATGGTATGTCAAATATGCAGACGTTCTGCCTTTGATTGGCAATGCGACAGCGTTTGAGAGTGTTTACACGGATTGGGGGTTTGAGAGAATCAAGGGAGAGTCGCCACCAGATTGGATCCGATTCTTAACTTACAGCAGTACTCCAGATTTCAGCGACCTCCAAGATATTCTTAAACTTACAAAACAAGAAATATCAGACTTTGGACATCAGGCTGAGCAAATGATCTTGCTGTGCACGTTTCATGGACAAAAATGCTCCGCTACAGAGTAAGTGAAAACTTTAAGAAAAATAAATGTTTGATCATGAAAAATAATCGATCATCTCAACCATCAACAATCTGGCATCAGTGATTATCGATCAATACCATCAATCAATGTTGATCATATTTCAATCATGCATTTAAATCAGTCAATCAGTCAATCGATCGATCAATCAATCAATTGATACTTGATATTCATATTTTATTTGCTGTTTGATTTGATTTGGAATAACGTTTACTTGGTACTTGACTGATGAATCAATTTATCATCAGTCGGTCGATCAATGATAATCTATTATTAATTAATAATCGCTGTTTATTCAAACGGTTATTAATAATCGGCCACTGACCATCAATCGATGATTAATCAATAAACGTCAACCCCAATAATCAATGACCGTCAATCAATGATCAACAATCAATAAACATTTATCAACAACCATCTATTAATAGCTTATCTTTCTGAATGGTGTCCTAAAGGAGAGGTTCGACTGCATATCGGATGATCATGCCTGTTAATTGCCTAAAGGCCAACTCAGACGCTGTCTGAGTTGGCCTTTACAGTGCCCCTAGTAAGCCCTAGGGGTACCATAGAGCACAAGTCGTTATTATATGTATGTTTCTAAAATATCAATTATTTTTTATTCCAGTGACTTCCACCAATTCCAACATGACAAATATGGAAACTGCTACACATTCAATGGCAACAAAGCCGATAAATCGTTTACTGCTAAATCATCACAACCTGGCGCTGAGTATGGTAGGTTTCCTGGCAGTTCATTTCAGAGAAAGCCGCTGTGCGAAAGAAAGCTTCGCTTATGTCGCCCTGTACTGGGGCTCGGTTCTGTAACTGACCGTCAACTAGTTGCCGGTAGCGCATATGTCGACTTTCAATCGCAATCGCGCAAATACAAGCAAATGCAAGGAACTGAGTAGAACTCTTAGTAGAACTTACCCAGAGCGCTTATGGCGCCGCCGACTAACTGAAACTGCTAGCAACTGGTTATTAGGTAGCTGCTCTGTCAAGGGAAATCAGCTTTCACGCGACTTTTACATAACATGATTAGGCCTACACTGACACATGCAATTAGATCAAGGACATTACGACCCAATAAACAGTTCAAATTTAACCCCTCCCCACTAAATCAAACTTTGTCCCCTTTTTTCTAAAACCCTTCTTACTTCTTCTTTCCCTAAACAATACAAACATTTACTCCTTCTCAAAACAAAACATCATAAAACTTAAACATCAAATGTAACATCAAAACAGTAATGGAAGTGACAAACTGAGACGCACCGTAGCAAGAGCATGGAATTGCATCTTGAGAAAATTTCCCGTACTGGGTTTAGTCTACAGCTGTTCGTGCTTTAAACAGGTCATTCCATTTGTAGAAAAAGCCTTTTAATAGAGAAAGTGTGCCCTTTTGGTTTGCCTATTGCCTAGGTCGAAACTTTATCAAATTGATTACAAGATCGAATTGTTACTTTTATTAATAGGCCTATAAGGAGTATAATGTTATCCCATTAATTCACCCATGTTTATGTTGTTCCTTTTGTTTTGAATTTGATTTACTTTTTTTCATATGGATGCACCATCAGGTATTGTCTGATGTGTGCCACTGATGGAAAATTGAATCCAATCAATATTATTATTATTATCATTATTATTATTATTATTATTATTATTATTATTATTATTATTATTATTATTATTATTATATTACACCATTGTATTTTACATAAGCCGCATCAAATTATTTTTGGTCGACGTAACTTCGTCATCGAGGTGCTTTGAGTCGTTTGAAAATAGAACATGTGCAACTGAGGGCAACTGGCGATTTTCAGTTGCTTTCCATCGCAAGGAGCGCTAAAGCCGGTTTTCCACTAGGCGAATTTATTCGCGCGAATCAAAGGCGTCGGTTCGGTTCCTGAGCTCTGATTGGTTGCGCACATTTTTCGCTTCGCAATAAGTAGAAACATTTCGAACTACCAATTTCGCTGAAGCGAAAACTCCGATAGAAATGTGAATGCGCATGAACGACGCTTTCGATTCGCGCGAATAATAATTCGCTTAGTGGAAAACCGGCTTTAAGCCTGTATTCCACTAGGCGAATTTATTCGCGCGAATCGAAGCTGCGGTTCATGCGCATGCGTATTCACATTCCTATCGGAGATTTTGCGAAGCGGAAAATGCGCAACCAATCAGAGCTGGGGAAGCGAACCGACGCTTTATTCTCGCGAATAAATTCGCCTAGTGGAAAAACAGCTTTATGTCGCCTTCAGTTGCGCGATTCTCAGCTGCTCGCAGATTGCACGCCAATTGCTGGCAAGTTGCCTAAGATGTGACGTTCACTCATCTCCCCTATTTTTGTCATCTACTTCACTCACTGCATCTATTCATCTCCATCATTTTTAAATTCCATTCCTTCTATTCATCTACTTTCATCCCTGGCCTATTTTATTCTACCTAATGATCTCACCGCAATCAATTTACTCCTTTTCGTTTTATCTAGTACTACATCTATTTATTCCATCTATTGTTTCTATATATTACCGTACATCTATTCATTACCTCAATAAAGGTTTAAAATTAACGCTGTTCACTGAACAGCACGAATACGTCAGCATATTTGGCCAGGATAGTGGCATTAAAGTATCGATTCATAACCAGAACGAAACACCGTTTCCAGAAGATAACGCAGTCACCGTTTCACCAGGAAGATCAACCTCCATAGGCATCAAAAAGGTTAGAGAAAAACAAATCCACTTAATGGCATCACATGTGACTCGAACTGATGTCCACATGATATGACAATGTGTATTTACATTATCATTTAAATTATTAACATTTATTATTATTTAATGCTGATGCTGTAATGATGATAAATAATGATATTAAAATCTGTATTATAATTACGCTTTTTTTTAAAGCTAACAATCACAATACTAAACCGATGACTACAAATAACGTATGCGATTCGAAATCTACCGGTCTGGAAAACTGTAACAACATAATTCATCGAAGTCTCTATCTCATGAAGTGAATATAATTCCAAATTTAAGCTTTAATTGAAGGAAAAAAATAATGACTTTTACAGTCGCTTTTTACCAGAGTAGCTGTCTCTCGCGACCACACGTCCTGCCGATGGCTGTTTACGTTGTGACTTTATGGAACGCCAAAAGAGTAACTCAAAACATAGTCGATTTTCAAGCACACTTGATTTTTAAGCACAGTCGATTAACAAAAACATAGTTGATTTCGTAAAGCATAGTCAGTTTTCGGCTTCTCATGAGTTACGATAAAACCTTGCTTTAGCTGCCCCTGACCAATGCTGTCTCATCTCATTTTAGTGGTTTCTAAATATGTTTATGCTATGAAAAATGACGTGAAACTGCTATCAAAACTTGTACCTAAACTACCACTGCATTTTTGACATTACGTAAAGAAAATAACCGAGCGAGATAACATGCAACATATGCAACCTATCTTTTTTTAGTGGTCCTTTGTTCTTTTTATCGTACGTTGATATACTAGAGGGCAAGCGCACCCTCTCGATAATAATACTAATAATAATAATAATAATAATAATATAATAATAATAGTAATAATAATAATATTAATAATAAATACTGTAATATAATAATACACATTCGTATTATTTTTCTACTTTATTTTTTATATTATTATTGATATCGATTATATGAATATTATTATCGTCATCATCTTCACTAATAAATATGCAACATCATCTCATCACTCACAATTCTATTTTGTTCTGTAAACAGGAAGAACGGATTCGAAAGAGCTCACCCTACGGCAACTGTTCAGAAGCATCTGCAGAAACGGATTTGATTTACAATTCAGAGAGTACGTCTACGATCCTGTCTCTTATACACATCTAGATGTGTATAAGAGACAGCCTCAATGTACACATACATATACATATATATTATTATTATTATCATTATCTTTTTATAGGCTTGTCTAAAGTCGTGTTATCAGATGAAGTTGGTTGATGTATGCAAATGCTCGGACACCGTCGTTTTCAACGGCAGCATAGAACCCTGTCATATATTAGATTTTGAGCAAGGTAGAATAACTCTAGATTACTTCCAACGCTTTTACATAAAGCCGGTCACGATTCTATGAACGACATGACGTCACGACGTTTTTAATAACCATCCGTTCAGAATATCACCAACAATCAGCAGGCGGCGTCAGGTCGTCTAGCGCTAAGGTAGCCTGAGTTCGAGGCCCTAATTTTGGGTTACTCACTCGTTATTGCGCTTAGTGTACGCCATACCTAATTTAATTAGCGTCCCATATTCGATCCTGGTACTGTCTGACATAGCATCTGAGAACGTATATGGCAAGCCGTTTTATCATATACCTCTGAATTAGTGTTAAGAGCAAATGCAACCTAAGGAGTACTGATGATCATGTTCGTCAAGAAGTCTGATGAAGTTAGCGTATTTTCCTCTACCTACTATTCCATGGAGATTATTTTCTACCGAGGTTTTTGAAATGCAGTCGCAACCACAAACCTCAATCAATGTGTGCAAAGGAGCATCGAAAGTCTTGAAAGAAAGAATTAGTATACGAAGGGCCACAAACCATCCCCAAACATGTCTATGAGGTCTACACGTCTTCAAGGCATATCCCTGGTTTGACCATGGAGGTATTTTTTTTATACCTCCATGGTTTGACGGACCTGGATGATGAAGCTATTAGGTGGCTAAAGATAAAGCGGCCCCAGTGGTTTTGGATCCCGTTTTGGATTGTAACAAACGAACAACCAGAAAAAATATTGATATAGAACTCACCATACAGATAGACGCATACACCGTTTGGTGTGTTTGTTTATTTGCATTGACTTGACATAGGTATACGTAGCTTAAACTACGAGATGGCATATTGTCTTTATATTATTTAGTGTAGTGTTGCACATTTTAATTTTGTTTTCATTTTTTAAACAATATAGAACGTTGCCGACAGCTGGTTAAATATCTCCACTCGCAAAAGCGGATAGAATGTAACTGCCCTTTTCCTTGTAGGTAAGTTGGAACCAGTGACACTTTTAAATGAGATTAATATCTTATGATGTACTCTTGTAACATCAAAAACATTCATGGCACGTTATAGTTTCTTTGTAATTTTCAGTGAAATTGTGTATGATAAAACGGTCTCTCAATCTCTCTGGCCTTCTGACAACTACCTGGTACGTTATTATTTTATTCAAATTTACACCATCATTCCTATGTTATTAACGACATTCAGCAGTACATCCTCCTACCACTATTTTTTTGCCATCTAATCCTTAAGTTTTCTTCGACACAAAGTTTTGCATTCACCCAACATAGACGACATCCTACCAACTGGGACCTCCTCATCATTCAAGTCGAAGTAATTCATTTGTGTAGGGCTAATTTTCGACACACTCACGCCCACAAAAATGTAATGTACAGTAATACACCTCTTTCTTAATTCAAACTAAATTATTTTATCGTTTATAGAAAACTTTTCTTGATAGCATTTACGTCATCAATCCGAAATTCAGAGAGTACGTCTACGATCTCACCACGGCACAGTAAGACAAATTATATTTGTTTAAGATAGACTATATCAACAATTACAAACTTAACCTGCATAGTATCTCAAAACATGATATATGATAATATGGTATGATAAGACATGATCTGACATGATGTGACAATATGATCTGATCTGCTAAGATATATGGTGTGACAATGTATGATCAGATGATATGTGATGTGGCAGTATATGATATGATATATGTGACAGTATATGATTTGAAATGATATGACATTATGATAATTATGTGACAATATGATCAGATATGATATATGATGTGACAGTAGGCCTATATTATCTGATATGATACATGATGTGACAATAATGATCTGATATGATACATGATGTGACAATAATGATCTGATATGATACATGATGTGACAATAATGATCTGATATGATACATGATGTGACAATATGATCAGATAATATATGATGTGACAGTATATGATATGATATGATATATGGCGTGACAATATATGATCTGATATGATATATGACTGATGTAGTATATTATCTGATATGATATATGATAGGACAATATATGACATGATATGATGATGTGACGGTACAGTATATGATTTGAAATTATATATGATGTGACAATATATGATCTGATATGATATATGACTGATGTGACAGTATATTATCTGATATGATATATGACGGGACAATATATGACATGATATGATGATGTGACGGTACAGTATATGATTTGAAATTATATATGATGTGACAATATATGATCTGATATAATATGATGTGACATTATATGATTTGATATGATACATTGTGATGTGACAATATATGATTTGTTATGATATATGATGTGACAATACTGTAATGATATGATGATATATAGATAAGATATGATATGATAATTATGATATTCATAATTGTATTTAACTCAAGTCAGAGACTAATAGGTAACAATATGAATGATATGATATGAGATACCGTATTATATTTATGGCATGATATGATTATTGTGTGCTATAATATGGCCACGGAAATACAGCTTTTGTAAGCATCAACATTATTGCACTGAATAAAGGATACTTAATACTCAAAGAATGTTTATTCCAATGCAATAACATTATTGAAATATAAAGAAGCCTAATTTCCATCAAATATATTATAATATTTATATTTAACTACAACACAAGTAATGTTATTAATGTCAAATATATATTATTCAAACAGGCGAAATCTTGTTCGATTTGAGGTGTATTTTGAGGACCTTTCTTACGTGTCCATATCCGAAAATCCTGCTTACAGTGTAAGTATACGTCGTGTTCCTTAAATTTAATTTTTTCACTAGCAATAATCACAGAAACTTTGAGTCCGAGCTACAGCCAATGGCTGCCCACCACCCTCTCTGTGAGTCCGAGCTACAGCCAATGGCTGCCCACCACCCTCTCTGTGAGTCCGAGCTACAGCCAATGGCTGTCCACCACCCTCCCTGTGAGTCCGAGCTACATCCAATGGCTGCCCACCACCCTCTCTGTGAGTCCGAGCTACAGCCAATGGCTGCCCACCACCCTCTCTGTCAGTCCGTGCTACAGCCAATGGCTGTCCACCACCCTCTCTGTCAGTCCGAGCTACAGCCAATGGCTGCCCATCACCCTCTTTAAAAAAAATGCCTCAAATATTGTAAACCAAACGGTAAGAAAGTAGCACTGTGAGATTATTTGAGAATTTTTTTTTTAACAAGCTTTTGTTTATTTTTATATAAAATTATTATTATGGTACCGTATATATAAATTAGTACAGTACATCAAATTGTTGATGATGAGAAAATAAATGATGAAGAAAATGATAAATGCAGGTATTAAAATATATTAATGGCATCACAGCAGTCAGCCATGATGTATGTGTATGTATTTATGTGTATGTGTGTATATATGTATATATATGCATATGTATATATATATATGTATGTATATGTGTGTATGTGTATATATATACATATATATATGTATATATATATATATGTATATATATATATATATATTTGACATATATATTTATTATTTATTATTATGGTACCGTATATATAAATTAGTACAGTACACCAACTGTCTCTTATACACATCTCACTACTCCTGTAATGAATATATATATNNNNAACAATTGAAAAAAAAAACAAAAATAACGAAAAAATGAAATAAAAGTAGGTGAAATCCACACAAAAGAGAGAAAAAAAAGCTTTGTTGTACATTGTACACCACTTTACCTAAACCAAATATCTGTGTCTGCTCAGAGCCCAACATTATTGACCTTAAAGTTATTGACGAAGAAGAAATCATATGCGCATTTCTAAACTTTTCAATAATTTAATTTTACAATTTAAATCATTTATTCACTAGAAGTACAAGAACGCTGCACAAAAGAAAGATTGTATTTAAATACAATTACAATTGCTTACTGATTATTAGTATGGCTCCCCGAATAATTTATTATCACGTTTTAGTGGGAAGGTCTGTTTGGTGATATTGGAGGAACGCTTGGACTGTATATTGGTTTGTCGCTGCTCACGGTAGTCGAGTTTTTCGAGTTCTTCATGGATATACTGCTGCTGGGGTTCAAGAAAGTGTTCAAGAGGAACAAGGTACTCAGTACAACGGAGATTTGAATGGAGATTCCAATAGATTACCAAAAGCGCAACACCTCAACGCGATTATTGGATTCCGTTACCGATACGACGAAACTCGTTTATTGAACAGTATTTGCGTTTTCAATTTCAATCTAAATATTTTAGGCGTTGTAGACAAAAAAATAATTTTCATTTTGCTATTTAACTCAAATTATTCATGCGATTATTATGGATTCATGTAGGATATTGTTTTTAAAACTACAATATAGATAACTTTTATTAGGGTATAACTAAAGTATAATATAAAAAAAAAAATTCAAACGATTTTGAAACTTAAACTGGTCTTACTTTACAGTACTTTACAGGCTATCGTATCCCATCTCATCCGCGATGCATCGTCAGACCAACTGGTCTGGTGGTGAAGAACAAGTCCAGTTGTTTAGTTTCAAAATCGTTCGTGTATTTACTGCTACCTGCAGATGACTGATATATAAAACTGACTGATGTTTAGTATTTATATGCTAATATTTGTTTTTGATTATACCATAATGTCATTTTGAATATAATCATCATAAGTCTTAGGCTTACCTACACTTGCATGCTATAGCAATGACTATAACACTAAAAGACCCAGAAAAAAGACGCAGGTGTGTTGAAGGGTAGGCCTTAAAACTGAACTAGAAAGATGATACGTTTTTAGAGGAATTTTTGATATGTCATTAGCAATAGAATACACTTTTAAAATGGTTTTCTCTTTGCCAATTTTTTATGTACGATTTACCGCTTTAGTAGCGTGACGTCAGTGTAAGGTACCGTACTGTAACCAAAAATCGCGGCGCTATACGATCCTTGGTTACAGACCCGTATGGTTACAGGTTACAGTACCTTACACTGGCGTCACATTGCTAAAGGGGCAAAATCGTAATAGCCTATAACTTCATAAAAAAATGCCATTAAACGATTTTAAAGTTGATTCTGTTACTAGTGACATACAAAAATTCTTTCTATAAAAAACAAATCTAGTTCCCTTTTAATAGATATAAATTATATATAGGCCTATTTGTGTGTATGGTTTATAGTAGGCCCATAATATAGGCTTTATAGTGATGTCGGATAATTTCTAATAAATAAAATATATCGTGCAACTTTTAAAACAAATTCAATGCTGCTTTTAATACCGTAAATGTTTTGTGCTTTTGCATATTCTTCAGGATCACAGCATCGTAAAAGCATCTTGCGCTTCACATCATACTTGATCGGTATTTAATAACTTATAAATATGATATACTCTTATTATAAACAAAAAATGTATTCGATAAAAGTTTGTGTCTCGTTATTTTGTTGGTTACGGTGTGTTTTAGGTTCTTTGGCATAATATACTGGTCTAATACTTCATTAATTTTATGGTATTTTAAAATTAGGCCTATTATCTTTTTTATTTTTTCTATTGGAGGGTGGGGTGAATGGAATGGAAGCGTGTGTGAGGAACTGGTAGAGTGATCCACCAATTCGCGGTTTTTGGTTTGCATATCCATTTACCAATATTTTAAGATAATGATATATGATCTGCCGAGAAATTTGATAATGGTGTCTTTAATTGATTGCCGCAGTTTAATAATCAATTGGTGTGTTAGTGACGATATTGTCAAGGTGTACACATAACGGCTGTCAATGATTGGTCAGTGCGCCTACTTCTATCGAAACATTTTCGCCTATTGTCGGCAACGAATAAGAAAGAATTGAGCACATCTCTAAGAACAGAGTTCCTGGCTTTTTTACGGAGTTAAACACCAATGATAAGGATATGGATGACAAAAAGTCAATTTTAGAAATAACATCAAAATTCGGCTCTGGGACCTCTTCGCATGGAATCCCGAGGATTGCGGCCGCCAAATCATGGCACGGACGTATACTGTGGAGCTTTTTGTTTCTGACTTGTATGGTCATATTTGTGTGGCAGGCATATCTACTGGTTAATGCTTATTTGGGGTATGACGTTGCTATATCCGTAAGTACAGCCACTTTACACGTGCTGTTTTATTATTTATTATTATTATTATTATTATTATTATTATTATTATTATTATTATTATTATTATTATTATTATTATTTATATTAGTAGGCATATTATTATTAGTATTATTCTTCTTCTTATTATTATTATTGTCATCATCATCATCATCATTTTGCTCCGCCCCTGTTGAATTTTAATTTAAATTCCTAGTTCGTTAGGTTAGCCATTCAAAGATTACCGTTGTTGTTTTTTATGTTAACTTGGATTCCAATAAAGGGACAAGGTTAAAAAAAATATTAAACTATTTTGAGGGACCGAAATAATATTTCGTTCCCTACGAAATGATATTTCGTGGGAACGAAATATTTCGAGATATTTGAAAAGCAGGATATTTAGTGCATGTTATCGTAGGTTTCTTATTTCCTTATACCGCCGTTTAGGGGCTCCGTACATTGTTGACTCAATTATTAAAGAGAAACAGTTGCTGAGATGACGAATCTGTCAAGAAGCCTTGCCGCATGTTATGTTTTTTAAAAAAAGTACACAATAGGATAGGCTAATAATGCAACGCTTCTGGATTTCTTTATTTAACTATTTACACAATGTAAAAAGCGCAAGATAAAAAAAATAATAAAATTTGCGGTTTTATCCGATTTTGTTGTCATCAAATAATAGTCGCTGGACGATAAAATCGTCGAATGTGATCGCCGAATACGTACGTAATATTAATTTACAACAAAATATTAAGGCGGGGCAAAAATATTTCCTTATATTTTTGTCGGTCTGTGACCCCAAAAAACAACATTTTTTAGGTTTATTAAGTCATGCAGCTTTCAACCATTGTGAAATTCATAAAACTATTGAAGCTATAGACTTATTTATTCATATTTTTATTACATTAATTTTAGTCGGTCTGTGACCAAATTAGTCGGTCTGTGACCAATGATATTACAATAATCTTTAAGCAAACATTTTACTGTAAAGTTGGTTATATTCAATAAACAAAATTAAAATGACAAAAGACATGGGCATGGGAAAGGTTCTAAGGACATAAAGTGGTTTATTTGAAAATAACAATAATTTGAGTTCTCAACGACCACCAAATTGGGTATATTAAACATGTGACTAAGTAGTTGGAAGCTGAGTGGGTAAAATCTTTCAAATACATAAAGCTGTAGTTTATCATTCAGTATTGATCTTGATTTCAACATTTAAATACTCTATAGTTACTATTCACTATGCCATTAACCAGTGGAGGCGTCACCGGGGTGGGGGGAAGGGGCGGGGAATTTTCTTTGTCGGAAGGCCGGGACCCCCTGTCTTTCGACGAACGACTAGGTCGTCGGACCAAAATTTTTTTAAATAATAATTTTCCAATCCAAATAACGCTATCTTGATTGCCAATCCCAAATATTGTGGTCTAAAAACACATTTAGGGTTAAATTAAGCCATAAAAACTCCCTTCAAGAACCCTAACAGAGATTTTTTTTTGTTTCGGGCTATCGACCAAGGCTTTGTCGTCGCTTTGGTTCGGACCCCTGCATCAGACACGTCGGACCCCTTGTTGCCAAACATCTGGCGCCACCATTGCCATTAAAGTCTAAAGAAAAAAACCATGCTATTCATTTCAAAGGCAACCATAGATGGAAAATGGAGCATGTTTGATGGTCGAGGATGTGAAAACACTTCCAGGTGACCCATAATGCATAAAATGCATTTCATAATTTTCTTGGTTTAATTAATATGCCTTTTTTCATTAAGTACTAGAGTATTTATTAACTGGGTCAGATCAATTAACATCCAAGCAATCATGATTTTGCTTAAGACTATTTTCTGTGACGTTTATTAGGTAAATAATACCATTCTTAGTATGTTAAATAATCTGATTTTATTACAAAATAAATTTTTGTTTACTATAAGGAATTAAGTTATGCTTTTTTATATACAATGTTTGGTAACAAGTTTTTAGTATTGAATTTTATATATAAAGTGTTTTCTCCTTTTAATGTGCCAGATTCCATCATATACTATCATGCAAATCGACAGGTAGTCCACCGGAAATACGGATTTGAAGCACCAAAGTTGGACATAATTGCAACAAAACGTTTTTTTTATGATTATATATAGTTAAATTTTATATCTACAACATACAAAAAGTTTACCAAAATATACCCATGGGAAAGGTGATTTTTATAGCAAAGAAAACTGAACTATTTCACTGGGCTTATACGCCCTGCCAAGGATGTGAGTGCTGTGCCTTGGTTACGAAGCGCTTTTATTTGATTTGCCGCTGACGCTGTTGATTGGTTAACATAGCTTCAACAGTCTGCGCGTACTCATTTACGCAACACACGTACGTACGTACGCAACGACGTACGTCACGTCCCAGAATGTAAACACGGAAATTGTTAGATATTATAGTAACCTCTGTAATATTTAAATTCAGGGTAGATGGATCTACAACAATAATCCAATTTTAATTTTAAATACAATGATAGGTACGATTAATTGACAAATAGTGAGGCCTGCCCAGTGTGTGCCGACCCAGCTGAGACTCAGGAGTCGGAAAAAAAAGTATGTGATCTTACATCAATAGGCCCTATATAGGAATAGTCCTATTATTATATTTTCTTACCTAAAAACACCAATTAAAATTTTATAGCTAATACAATAAAACAAATATATTTGCAAATAGTGTAAAATAATTGTTGATATTTTAAAAAGTATAATAATGACTCTGATAAATGATTTATTTGAAATAGGCCTACTATTCTACTCTCTTCATATAAAAAAAATGTTGGAAATCACGTAAATTCAGGATTTGGTGCCGAATTACTGTATAATGCCTGTATAATGCCTTGTCTTCTGGTAAATAGCATGGACGGGGTGACAGGCGACACGTACCCCAACTATTTTAAGGGGGTGGTCCCCATCACGTTCCTAAGGAAGTCAAGAATATACCTGGAAATTGTAGAATTGAACTGCATAAATGACCAGATTTTAACGAAAGACCACTTTACAGGCAGATAACATCTTATTTTATAACAAGATACCGGTGTTTTATGTCCACAAACATCTGAATTAACTGTAATACATGACTCGAGTGCGTGCCTTTATTATACAAGTATGACAAATATTGTGTAAATATAAATTGGTTTTCGGCTCATGAAGTAGGTAAAGTAGATAAATCGAACACAATTATGTTGTTATATTTCTATTATCGCAGCGATTCATATTAGATACAAGATACAAGGTAGCTTTATTGTCAAATTAAAATATGAAATTAGTTTTTCTCATGGCAACAAAAGTACATAAACAACAGAGAAACATACGATCAATGATGATTAATTTTACATCACATGTACAGTATTAATTAGATCTCTATGTTTGCCGAAAATCGTTAATAAGAGATCACGAGAAATTTGTTGACGCTTTATTTTGCCTGGTGATGTGATTGAAGATGAATTTTACTACTGTATATAAAAGTGTCTTCCCATCTAGGTACTATTTTATATTTCTTTTTAACCTCAGTCCCAACCACGTACGGCTGAAGTAGAGCTAAGAAAATGTATGATTACTGCACCTGTAGACAAAAATTTGAATATATTATTTTTTTCTCAATATTTTTTATAATTTTAAAAAGGCCCCCCCCCCTAAATTGGCTACTGCTATCGATCGAATATCTGGAGAAAGAAATCTTGTTTGTTTTTACTCAGTGTACCAGCTGATTATAACTCAAGAAAATACCGATAGCCATGACTGAATTTTACTGAATGAACTTTAATATGGTTGGCAATGGTGGTGGGGTGTGGGGTGGGGGGAGGCAGACAGGCAAGTAAAAAATGGAAATTATAGATGGTTGATGTCCAACACTTATAATTGACAAATAAAAAGGTTAAGGAACTGAAATTTTATTAATATTTATTTGGCATATAATTATGCATGCATGACATGCGGTCTAACTGTTATACAGTCATAATAAAATCTATTTATAATATACTATTAACTTATTAATTCTACGATCGGCAACCCATGGGTCGTAACCCAAGTTTGGGCCGTGAGCGAATTTTTGAGGCTAAGTAGAATATGCAGACGCAAAAGGCGCCCTTCCTTTTCCACTAATGAAGGAAAACTTTTTCACTAAGAGTGCGTCCGGCCATGCGATTCTGCGCTGTATTGTTGTTTTATTCCTTACGGATTCATGATTATGCTTTAATTGTTTTGTGTATTATTTGGATAATAGCAACGATTTCTACCGCCACCAATAAGGTTATGGATTCACCGATGTCACTGTCTGGGTGTCTATTCCAGTTTGTTTTTATATCTAGTATCTTTGTTGAGAATTGATAATAAAATACGCGACGACTTGGTAACGAAAGTTTGGAACAAATTTGTTTAGATCCAGCTGTAGGGGGTGTCCCATTTTTCCTACTCTCACCATGCATTTCGGTGGAAGACGGTGGAACACTTTTTTTGTGTGGAGAACTCTATCTTGTATTTCTAGTATCTTTAAGTTTACGCACAGACGCACTAGCATGTACAAACCTTCCGTGCAATCAGTCACTGTCTATCATCCGGTGTGCTCTCAGGCCACCATGCAGGATCACAGTGACTGCACTAACTAGCGGTGTGTTCATATCTCCATTGACGACACCCGTTGAGTAGACTTACACCTTTAATAAAGTACAGTTTTTGTGTAGATGACACCCAAAAATTATTCGCGTCCCCACCGAGTAGGGCCCTCACCCAGTCGGGCCTCACCCAGCCAGGGTCCCACCAAGTCTCCACCCCAATCACACTCAAACAGTTATAAATCTCCTTCTTTTGTGAGCTAGTTCCCCCTCAGCTATCCACTGGTCAGTAGGTGAGGGGTGAAGACTGGGGAACATTACCACCCACCCCCCCCCTTTCCAAACCATAATACCCATCCTAAACACGGAATTCAAAATGATTATATATTTTCAGAATTCAAAGATTTTAAAATTTTATACTGGGAAATATTGTACACTGATGGAGGGTCTATACCAGGTCAGCCCCCACCATGGTTAGGGCTTACACTTCGTCATATGCACGACATGGCATAAAAATCACACCCGTTGAGTTAAAAATCGTATATAAATCATCAAGTAATGCATCATCCGTAGCACTAGCCATGGTGCTTTGCCCTTGATTAGCTATAAATCTATCTAACTATATAAGGCTAGGCTATTACCTAGGTTCGGTACCTTCCACTTTATCTAGCTTGCAACAATGTAATACTTCCGTGTGAAAGTGGATGAGACCATTATATAAGAGGTTTACTGTTTTATTTCTACTGTTTCGAACAGTCTTGTACATTATTATTATTATTAATGATATTAATTTTGTATTATTATTTATTATTATTATTATTATTATTATTATTATTATTATTATTATTATTATTATTATTATTATTATTATTTATATTAGTAGGCATATTATTATTAGTATTATTCTTCTTCTTATTATTATTATTGTCATCATCATCATCATCATTTTGCTCCGCCCCTGTTGAATTTTAATTTAAATTCCTAGTTCGTTAGGTTAGCCATTCAAAGATTACCGTTGTTGTTTTTTATGTTAACTTGGATTCCAATAAAGGGACAAGGTTAAAAAAAATATTAAACTATTTTGAGGGACCGAAATAATATTTCGTTCCCTACGAAATGATATTTCGTGGGAACGAAATATTTCGAGATATTTGAAAAGCAGGATATTTAGTGCATGTTATCGTAGGTTTCTTATTTCCTTATACCGCCGTTTAGGGGCTCCGTACATTGTTGACTCAATTATTAAAGAGAAACAGTTGCTGAGATGACGAATCTGTCAAGAAGCCTTGCCGCATGTTATGTTTTTTAAAAAAAGTACACAATAGGATAGGCTAATAATGCAACGCTTCTGGATTTCATTATTTAACTATTTACACAATGTAAAAAGCGCAAGATAAAAAAAATAATAAAATTTGCGGTTTTATCCGATTTTGTTGTCATCAAATGATAGTCGCTGGACGATAAAATCGTCGAATGTGATCGCCGAATGATGTAGCCCTCAAATGCCAGAATGATAATGTCGCAGCCAAATACTATTTGTGCCGAATGTGAAGCCGCCGCCAAAAGCATTGCTGGCGTATCATATACGAAATATTATTTCGAGGGAACGAAATTTTATTTCGAAAGAACGAAATATTATTACTAGGGAAAGAAATAATATTTCGAGGGAACGAAATGTTTTTGCGAGGAAACGAAATATTATTTGTTGATCCATGTCAATTTGTATATCGTGTTAAAAGAGAAGTAGTAATTACACTTCTACATCCTATACATAGGCATATGCCTAAGATCTTAGACAAACTTAAATCCGTACGCAAGAACATTGCAAGTTGTCTATGTGCTTAGGCCCACCTAGCCAAATTGGAAGGCTAGAGCCTAGGGCTAGCTCAGGCTTGGTAAGTAGTTTTAGGTGACCAGGGGAGGATTTAGAGGTGGGGAGAGGCGGATATAAAAAAAGAAGAGATAATTGTTATATGGATACTCTATTCCAAAAGAAAGTTTGATTGATTGATTGATTGATATCGTGTGTACGTCACTTCCCTCAGTGGATAACTACAAAGAAGTTTACGTACAGACGCACTAGCATGTACAAACCTTCCGTGCAACCCAGTCGGGCCCCACCCAGCCAGGGTCCCACCAAGTCTCCACCCCAATCACACTCAAACAGTTATAAATCACCTTGAGCTAGTTCCCCCTGACCTATCCACTGGTCAGTAGGTGAGGGGTGAAGACTGGGGAACATTACCAAACCATAATACCCATCCTAAACACGGAATTCAAAATAATTATATATTTTCAGAATTCAAAGATTTTAAAATTTTATACTGGGAAATATTGCACCATAGGGAGGCTGTGCTTTTACTGCGTAGCGTAAAAGGAGTGATTATAGTTTTCACTGATGGAGGGTCTATACCAGGTCAGCCCCACCATGGTTAGGGCTGAGGTGAGAAAATTTATGATTATATCAACTCTAGCTTGACAGAATGATACTCACACAGGCTTAAAATTTCTTTTTATCTCCATTTTTAAAAAATAAATGTTTCCCTTAGGCCTAATCTACCCATTCGCACATGTTACATAACGCGTGCTCGTCTGATCACTGAACAACCATGTTATACCAACAAACATGATGATAAACATAAAATTATTAATAATAGGAATAAGCCTCCGTATTCATTCTGTAGCTACGTCTTCAAGGGACAACACGTGTTCCAACACTCTATCTGTTTCAAGTTTTATAACTGCAATTTGTTCAGATACTTATATCGACACACGATTGCAGTAGGCCCCCTAAATATCATCACAATCACCGTATTGTTATTATCGTTTCCTTAAAGCCAGGCCCCGGAGCTTGGCTATAAACTTAAAATGTTAAGTTCATTATGAATATGTTATTATATTCAAAAAAATATTTCATTGTTGGGGAAGTGAGGGCCCCTACATTTCGGGGTCCCTCCGGACATTCAGGTTGAATTCACTGGTTTCACTTGATGCTTGTACTCACGCATGAACAGTGAAAATTGACTCTCATTAGATTACATTCATTTATTCATTCTCTCTATTTTGCTCCAATGAGGAGCTCTAGGAGGCCTTCCCTGCTGTCGTTAGGGCCAACAATATATAAATATACAATATAAACACAGTAAAAATTTACGCACTTGTTCGATCACTAGAAATTAATATAATAAAAAATTAAAATTAAAAAAGATCGAAAGGTTCGAAAGAGGGAGACAAGAACACAATATCAAAATACCTATATACAGCAACATGAATCTAATAGATAGGCTAATTGAGAAATTGAATAAAAATGTCATATAAAATATGACCGTGGGAGACTGTAAATCAGTAGATTAAACATTTCCAAATTATTCGACAATGGTTCTTTAAAATTGATTTAATGACATATTAGGACGTTTGTGGTGGTCATAGTTTAAATTATTCCACAATAATTATATTCGGTTTTGGGTTTTTGGGATTAACGAATTTGAATTACCATGACGAAAATTATAATTGAAGTTATTTTATTGAACTAAATTTGTAAGGTAAGTTGGTTGGAGCCCTTTCAGTTAAAATTTCAAATACGATAATCAAGCATTCCAATCCATTTCTTTTTGATAAAGATGCCCAGTTTGCTAAATTCAGTGCTTCTTTACTGGTCCTAGTATACGCCACATGTAATTTTTACTGCCTATTTTGAATGGTTTTTTTTTTTATTTTTTTTTATTTTTTTTTATGAAAGATGATTTGCAGTTTTCCCACATTGAAATACAATAGACCTATATTGAATGAGATATAATAATATAGAATAAAATATTCTTATATAATATTAAGCTTAACAATGATTCCCATTTTTAACAATTCTTGCAATATTTTTAGATAAAAGTGAGCAATATAGAAGGACGTGAAATCGTTTTCCCGGCAGTGACTGTGTGCAACACGAACCCTGTGCGAAAGTCGCAAATCAAAGACTCGTCACACTTTATACTAGCTGACCTGGAGCAATACTCACAAGGATTGCAGTATTACGGTAATAAATCGTTGATCGATACTATACACAGTACCCCAAATATTTTTGGATTTAGGCGAACTCATTCATATATATTAATTGATCGATTGATTGGTTGATTGGTAACATTGGTTGATTAGTCACATAGGTTGATTGATTGATTGGTTAATTGATTAATTTGATCTACTAGTTGATTGATTGATTAATTAATTAATTTATTAATTGGTTGGTTGACTGACTGAGCGACTGACTGAGTGAGTGACTGACTGATTGATTGATTGATTGGTTGGTTAATTGACTGATTAGTTGATTGATTGATTGAGTGATTGA